GAAAATCATTTTAGAAAGTTAGAAGAAAATTGTCAAAAACGAAACCTAAATATGCCTAATTGCTTACATTTGCTAATAGCCATTTTTTAATAATAGTTTAGTAGTTTTATTGTAAAAATTGAAAAATAAAAATTCATATTATAAATATATTACTTATATTATCATTGTTAAAATGAAAAATAAATAAATGTATCATAATAAGTAATTATAATTAATTATATTCATTTGCATGTGCAAAAAGTGCATGTGAATAAAATTAAAAATTTTAAAATTAATATTAAAAATTATAAATAATAACATTTTATTATTTTAAAATAAATATTAGAAAAAAACTAAAATTTTATTTTATAGTGAAAATTAGCAATTAATGTAAACAAATTAAAATATAATATGATGTTAAAGCTAAAATTTCATATTGCATGTTAATATTAGCCTAATATTAAAATATAATCTAATCAAGACTCTCATCTAGTAAGTAGTCTAAAATGAAAAACAAAAAAGATAACAATTAACTTTCTAGCATGAAAATTTTACCTTTTTATTTCGACATTTGCCAATATTAATATTATGAATATTTTAGGATAATTCACACCATATTTTAAGGTAACTCTTTATTATGAGAGTATCATTCTAATGATTGAACTAAGAAAATATACTATAAATCAATTTCACCTAGCAAAACTATCTATAGGCACATAGCTAAATATGAAATTTAAGAGAATTATATGCTATTAATTTATAGGAAAACAATAACTAAAACTAATAACAATTTTGGATTCTTTTATTTCAAATGAAAATGAATATCACCCTTCCATGATGTGGTGCATCATAAGTAGAATACTCATTACGATTACTATACCTATTTTATACATATTTTCTAGAATCCTCTAAAACTTTCTTTTGCGTTTATATATACAAGCTATAGGAGAAATATATGAGATAATGAATACTTTTGGAATTTACAACAATTTTTAATATTTTGATCTTTGTTTAACTCTTTTTTTCTCATGTTTCTTTACTGATCTCCCCACATCAGTTGGTATCAGAGCCGTGAGCTTATGAGTGACCATGGATGAAGAAAGCTACATCTACTATTAACGACGATCAGAGCTTTGATGCTTTTGGGGAGACCATAGATGAAGATGAATTGTCGGCAACATTCAAAGTCTCCACCAATTGACAACCATATCGGTGAATCTACCTCCATTAGCCGACAACAAAACCGCAAACCTACGGCCTCCACTAGTCGACAACCATACTGGCGAATTGACCTCATCCACTCCAATCCTCGACCAACTCCACCTATGCTCCAGCATCTATCCTAGTTCGCATGTGTCCCAAAACCCGCCTGACAGACTTCACGCAACAGACCTGTAGCCATACTCGCGCTTCATGCAACCAGATCGAGCCCGAGCACGCCCCTTTCCACCCCTATGATCGACGCCTCACGCAATCTAACCCTCTCCCGCCTTCTGAACACATGCAAGTTGCGACCCGCAAGCATGCATGCCTGTCTCGCCTTCTCTCCCGTGCACGACCAACCTCGCCTCTCCTACACATGATCCGAACATGTGCCCAATTCCCTGCTTCGCACTCATGCATCCTCCCACCTCCAGTGCATGCTACTAGAGTGATTATGTTTGTTTCCTTCTCGCCTGTTCGCACGAAGCCCATCCTTCGCTCGCTCTCGTAGCTAGGCCTACGTCGTCACGTGCTTATACACACAATTTCTTCAAATACACTGGTAGTATGATGTGGTATAACTCGGTATTGGTCTTCACATGATGATATTCTTCGTTAATACCAAATGATAGCTAGCAATACCGAGCAAAAACCCAATTTTTTAGTGGTGGGAGGACGTATCTCTACATCAGGTGGGAGGACGCAATAAAAATTGCCTAAAAATCTTTGTAATAAAAACTAAATAATAAATTAAAAGGGGACAAATTATCTAAATAATAGTATAATGAAAAAAAAAATCGGGGGGGAATTGCCCCCCTAGCCTCAATGGGGTAATTCTGCCCCTAGATCAGCCCATGATTATAATTTGCATATATACGAGATGAAGATCATTAAAGTGTGATTAACTAAGAGTGGAAATTAGAGGAAACATATTAAAATTTTCACACCATTAATGCCTTAGGGTTGGGAGACAAAAAATTAATGCTCCCATGTATTGAGATATATTAATTCAACACTAGTTTACCACCCATCCACGCAATCCACAGATTGCCACATCAAAATCAACTTAACCACCCAACTTCTATGTTTTTTTCCTCTTTAATTCCCAATGAAATTATCATTTCTTAACTAAGTGGCCTAATTAGAAGACTCGTCTTGCTTTTTCCTCTTGCTTCCTCTTCACGAACTCCATTAAGGAGAACTTAATTCGGTCTCATCAGAATCTTCTTTCCACCAAAATCTTCTTTCTCTTGCCCACAAAAGTGACTACCTCATCTACAGACTAGACCATGGTCACTATCCTCTGGTCGCTTTCTTGGGTGACTAACTTCAGTGACACCTTCAGTTGAAATCATTGTGTGCACTGGCAGAATTACTTCCTCAGCTTCAATGGGGAGATTTAAGGTCAACTCTTAAGTATTTGAAATCAGAACAGTTAACAAATTTGTTCGCTTTTAAGTATTTGGAGATGACTAGAAATATCATAAGTATCTTGTATTTCTACAAGAGTGGTATCAATTTTTTTTTTCTTTATTAATTCAATACCTTCTGCAAATATAATTCCATTGAAATATGTAATCCCATGTAAGGGTATAAGTGAGTTGAGCTGATTCGAACTTGGCTCGTCGACGAGCTTGCAAGTCAAGTTTATCAAGCTTCAAGTTCAAGCTTGAGCCTATAATTGTGCTCGGCCTAACTTGACTTGAAAGCTAGTCGAGCTACTCGATTAAACCTTTTTAATATTACATTATATTATATGAAAGGAACAAACATAGTCGGCCCTAACATCTTTTGCAAAATAAGACGACTAGGGCTGCTAGAGTATCCTCTTCGCATGCATGGGATAGGACCACTACGTATTTCTCCTTCTTAAAACTGACGTTTCAGACAACTCCGACTCCAAGGCTCTTCTACTTGTTCACCAGCCTGCACCTGTCGAGACTCTCGTGGTTGTCGAAACTTGCGAGGCAGGATGACAAACATAGTAGGAAGTCAAGAGGAGGTTAAGAAGACACAGGTTGACATTATGCGAAAGAGTTTGGCAGGATCTGCCTTCGCCTCCATCGATCATTTCCTCCTCGTCCTCTCATTTGAACGGTGCTCGCCTTCATTGAACCCCATCTCAGATCGAAACTAGCCAATTGAGCCTAGCTTGAGCTTCTCAAACTAGCTCAAACTCAAAAATTCTTGAAAGAATCAAGCTCGAGGTTAGTAAATGAACTCGAGTTGAGTATGAGCTCAAATTCGAGATTAATGAGAACTAAATTAACTCAACTTGATCCGACAAATGCTCGACTCAACTCATTTACCCCCCTACCCTGATGCATGTATTTTTCTCATCTCAATAGGTTTTGCTGGAGCCACCTTGCCCAGCTAAGGGTTAAACTTATCCTAGCCTTCTTCTAGCTGATCAAACTTTACCGCCAAACTTTCTTTTGACTTCATCCCTATTAAACTCCATTCGATGCTTCTCGAAGAATTAAGAGCCTAGAACTTTCTCGACCTTCTTTTTCTAAGCAAGAAATTGAGCTCCAAGATAATCATCAATCAAAAGAACTAGAAAGTAATGATAAACACATAAGATGAAAAAATTATAATTAAATATTTCTTATGATTTAATAAATTCATAAACAATGATAATAACAATAATAAGCCTTTCTCTCACTTATGTATTAAATGATTCATATAATGATTATTCAACAAATTTTATGCAGACTGTTAACTACTTATACAAGCATTTAATTTTTTTCATCCAGGACTTATAACCCAGCAACAACAATATTGATTTAATGAATTCAAATATATACATTTACTATGCACCTTTTACACTGCTAAAGGATGTGAAATTATTCGGTGCGGTCACCGGACGTCGTCCGAAGGCGAATCAGGATGTGTCACGTCACTTTTTTGTTGTTTAGGGTGCTACGTACCAAGTGACGTGGCAGATTCTGTTTCGTCTCTGAATGATCCTGTGACCGCACAGTCGGCACAGAATAATTTATTATAAAGAACACCTAGCATGGTATCTATTTTTTAGGCACTTATTCTCTCTCTATTTTCAATTCCTTCCTTAGAAACAAATTACAATCCGTGAAGCAATCAAACTCAACACCTCAGCACCTCAAAGGTAATCGATATGTCAAAGGATCTATGTTCAGAGCCTCACATCTACTTAATTACGATAAGCAGAGTACAATGAAATTAGCCAACATTCTTTCTTATCCTTTTTTAAGTCACTTCACAACCTTTCATTATTTATTTTTTAATCGGACTCTTATAATGATTTGTTATAATGTAATTGCACTAATTGCATTTGTTCTTAACTTTTAATAAAAAATTAAATTATAAGAAAAATAAAACATTTCTAATTCAAAGTGGAATAAAAAAATGACAGATGCATAATTTTTTAAACATTTAAAGTTTTATTTGGGACAGTTTTCTCATACAATTTATTTTGTAGTTTTTTACTTTTTTTTTTTTACTATTTTTAAAAAAGTTTATGAAAGGCTTACTTCGGGGGGAAATTATTTTGTGCAGTCACAGGATCATCCCGAGGCGAATTAGGATGTGCCACGTCACTTGGTACATAGCAAAAAGATGACTTGGCGCGTCCTGATTCGCCTTCGAACAGCGTCTGGTAACCGCACAGAAGAATTTCTCTCCTTTGGAATAATTTTCTTACTATTTTCCAAAACAACTTTCTAACTTTTTTTTTTGCAAAAAAACTAATTTAAAAAACAGTAAGAAAATAATTCAAAATAAAATCTAAGTTATTTCCTCATAACAACTTCACAATCAACCTCATAAAATACAATAACTGTCTCAAACAAATCCTAAATTTCATTTTCATAAGAGAAATAAGCACCATAGTAATCAAACCTTTGAAACAAAATACTAAACAAATAATCATGATTTCACTCACTCATTAAGCAACCAATTAAGAAGAGATTAAAGAAATTAAATAGAACAACCTCACTAATAACCTCAATTAATACATGTAATTAAGAACTTCCTTCCTCTCCTAAATAAAGAAGATCCTCTAATAGCTTATCATCCAAACACTCGAGCTCTATCACTTGCTTCCCTCTTCCCGCCACCGATCTCAAACCAGTTAAATCCATCTCCGGCAAACTCGAAGCAGGGCTAGCTGTAGTTCCGGCGGTGGTGGAACTCGGCAGCTCGCCGGGAAAATTGAGGATTGCAAGGTGACCACGCATAGCGACGGCGGCTCTATCGTAGGCTCTTGCGGCTTCCTCAGCGGTATCGAAGGTTCCAAGCCAAAGCCGAACGCTGCCGCGAGTTGAATCGCGTATCTCCGCAGCGAATTTGCCCCACGGCCGCCGGCGGACGCCGCGAAACCGGACCGGTTTTTCGCCGGAGCGTGCAGAGTACTGGACCGGGTGGTCCTGGTCCTCCATGTTGAGCCGGAATTGTGTGTTATGGCTTACTGGCTGTTGTTATATGGTGGAGGCATATAAGTGTTTATTATAAAGTGTTTTTTTTTTTTTAAATAGTTTTGAACGAACTAAATTAAAGCTCTCTAATAATAATTACTCTACTAAAATCTTATTAATGAAGCTTTAAAAATTTTAATATTTTATTACTTAAATTCTAATTAGAATTTTTTTAACTAATTTTGAGTGTTGTAACATAATTATTCTTGAACCTAGGTTTAGTAGAAGAGAGCCAAAGCTCTTAGCCAATAAATTTAGTTTGAGATAATTTTTCTACTATTTTTTAAAACAATTTTTTAGTACAAAATTTTTTTTAATCAGAAATATTTTTATTAAAAAATTGTTTTATAAACCAATAAAAAAGCTGTTCCAAATAAAGTATAAGGCTTCGTTTTGGGACGGCTTTCTTACTTCTTCTTAAAATAACTTTTTCGTACAAAAAATTTAAAATTTATATTAAAAAATTATTTTAAAAAGCATTAAGAAAGCCATTTGAAACAAAATCTTAGATGAAGTATGGGCGGCTAATCAAATAAAAAAAAAATTATGTCATTGAGAATCAAAATTTAAGAAAAAATAAATAAATTATATTAATAGTTTGATATCAGTCAAATCAAGCATTAGCTCAGCAAAATCTTAAGTAAAGGAGAAATACTTGAGTTTGGTAACTATCCATGCAATAATAAGTTGACATTTATCAATTTATGTTTGAGAAGAGGTAACAAGGATGGATTAATAGTTTTGGAGGGTGAGTTAAGTATTTAAGTGTGCAGTTAAATTTTTCATTTATTAAAGTTAATGACTCATTAAGTAACATTAGAAATATAAATAGAGATTATCATTAAAATTTATAATATAAAGTAGAAAAATACAACGGTTAATTTTTATGCCGGAAAGTGAATTTTTTATTATATAGGCTTCGTTTTGGAAGGATTTGTTATTGCTGCTTAAAGCAGCTTTCTAGTACAACAAATAAAACTTTTATACTAAAAAGCTACTTTAAGAAACAGTAAGAAAGCCGTCCCAAGCGAAGCCATAGATTTATATTGGATATGCTTGAGATAGCTACATTTTTTTGTAAATGTGATGGTAAATTTATTGTAGAGAAAATAACTTTTTGAAAGTTGTTGTAAAAACTTCCTACCACATAAATTTATCAAAAAAGTAAAAAAAAAAATAGTACCAAAATAAAAATTATGATTACAATCTGAAAAACAAAATAATAAGAAAGTTTTCTCTAATCAACCACTTGTACTAATGATTTTTTGGTAGATTTATGCTAGGGGTGTAAAAGAGACGAGTCGAATTGAGTATCTGTTTAATCGAGCTAAACTCATGGCTCGATAAATTGACTCGTGAACTCGTTAACGAGTCAAGCTCAAACTACCTCGACTCACTTGCACGCCAAATTTATGCCACATGATTTATAAATGGATGGTTAAAATTTCTATGCGGATAGGCAGGCGGATAGGAAGTCATGCGATTGCGTATTCAAACAGTATCGTTCTCCCTTCTTCTGGACCGCATATTTCCTCGGAAATTCTCCTTTTTTCTCCGACTTTTTTTCTCATCTTTGGTCGTTCAATTTAGATTTTACTCATAATAATATTTAATGAGAGATCAATCCAAAATAAATAAAACATATAAAACTATCACATTTGGTGGTACTCTCATTGAAAGGAATTCCAAAAAGCCCCATTCAACGAACTTAAATCCTTAATCATTTCATAGTGATTGCCCCACGTTAAGATTAAGACGCGCTAAGAAACGGTTTTCTTACTGTTTCTTAAAGCAATTTTTTAGAAAATAATAATAATTTTTTTACTAAAAAATTGCTTTTAGTAGTAAAAAAATCATCTCAAATGAAGCTTAACACTTGCTAAAAAAAGAGGAGGATGCTTTTTTTTGAACTTTTAGGCCAATTAAGACAAATTCACAAACACATTATATATATAAGCTTCGAACACGAGGCCTCTTAGTAGATAGTCAAAGCTCTCAACCGATAGATCAAGATGAGATACTCCAAGATTTAGAGTGACGAATGAAAGCCTCTTCAATAATGGGTGTAAACGAGTTGAGCTTGAGTCATCCTTGATATGGGCTTTAACTTGATTAATTAATCAAGTTGAAGCTCGATCTTTATTCTATTAGTTCAAACGTGTTGAAAAGCCAGCTTGTCTATTATGAAAGAGAAAATAATTATGATTCATACACTTATTATAATGAAATGATAAAAAGAATGAAAAATTAAAACAATAATAATAAATAAACACTTAAAATAAAAATGTGAGAGGGATATATATATATATATATATATATATTTATAATTTTATACTTAAAATTATGTTTGTTAATATATTTTAAATATATTTTTTATTTAATAAATTTTGTTGTGTTTCATTAGTTTACTACTTTACAAATTAATATTTAATTAAAATATTAATATATATAATGAATATGAATTAATTAATCTATTAGGGCTGATAAAAAAATTTTGATTAGAGATAATAATACTCAATCAAATAAACCAAATACAAATAAATTAACCTTAATAAATCATAACTATTAAGTAATTTAATCATTATATTTCAATCTTCAATAAATCTTATTAAAATTTTATTTAAGCTAACAAAATTAAATTCTAAAATAAATAGTAAAATAATTCATCAAGATTTAAAAGGAATTAACCTCCATCATCTCAAATAACAATATTAAAAGATTGAAATTTCAAAAGAAAGAAGAGAAAAAGAAAAAGCTTCCTTATATTCTCAGTATGAAGTGTGCAACACATTACAAGTCACCTAATAAAAATAATCAAAGTCCACAACAAAATAATGGACTCCCATACTTGCAAAAATTAGGTATCGTCAATTTAAAATCTTTTTATATGCGTGAATAACTCAATCAAAACCCTCCCAACTCAAGTATTCAACCCAAAATTTCGACAGCATAACGGCCAAATATAGAGATTTCTACAAAATTATAATTATGTATATATCACATGTACAATTACATATAAATTATATATCCATCAATCCATACAATAGAACAAAATAAGGATTTGAAAATTTCATCCATTCCATTCATTGCAAAAACAATTTAAATCTCAAAATATGCAAACTTTTTTTGCTTGCATGAAAAAGGCAATCTATCCTCAAAAGCTACCTTAATCCTTCAACATTTGCACAAAAAGCTATCATTGGGTGAGCACTAAACTCAACAAGTCAATAGGCAGTTCTAAACTTATCAATACAAGTAACTCGAAAGGTTAAATTCAAATATGCAAGAAAAAACATCTGAAGTTATTTAATGATCCATGATAAGATCAAATGGAACTGAATCGGCTGCAGTTTACTGATTTTGGCTAGGAACACTTATGAATCCTAGTGTTTCCTATCACAATCATATAAACCAAATCAAAAAAATGAAAGGTAAGATATGCATCTATGATAATATGATCAAAATCAATAATGATCTACCAATTCAAAATTAATTTGGTTTCATCAGCTTATAAAGAGCGCGATATGCATATAATTCTTGCTAGATATATTAGGGGATTTCTCCCAAGATTTACTATATTCAAGAGCCCATCCTAAATTAGGATTTATTATTTTTAAGATGTTCACGTATATAACAAGAATAAACTTAATAATTAATTGAGCTAGTAATAATAATGATAAGCCTAAGAGTTGAGACACGATATTTTGGTAAATCTATGCATTGAAGTGTGCCATTTACTATCTTAAACAAATCCAAATATAAATCAATTCTTAATCTCCTTTAAATTTAATTCCTTCATCTCCTAAGCATTTCCACACCTCAATTGAAATATCATCATGTCCAACAGCTTTTTCACATTTCATTTTCTTAAAGCCTCTCCAACTTTGATTTTACTAATACGTCAATAAAAACAAAAATCTTTATTTTCATTTAGGATGCTAAGCTCCTAAGACAAATGTCGAGCTAGAAAATTGCCCCATGTAAATATTTTCGAAAGTTATCAATTTCCCACATTGGAATTCAAGACTTAAACATTAACCACAATAACGATAAAGAATATATACAAAAAAAACTTAAAGATATTTATCATCAAATATGAATAATTGCAATAGTTTAAAAAACAACAAACACTCACCATCTACAGATAAATATAGATGCAAAGAAAGTAGAAAAGACGACATAGAATAGGAACTAATTATTGTTTGGCTAGAGACAGTGAATTGCTCGAGAAATGAGAGGATGGAAGCCCCAAAGGAGAAGGCTTTCACACCTTTATTAGTAGCACACCCATTACAGACTTGCAAATCCTCATTGATGGTGGTCTCGAGCTTATCATTCATGTTACGATGCTTCAGTCATGAAAAGTACTTCATGACTATGGAGTCAAACCAAAAAGAAAACTAGGAAAGAAAAATGAGCTGAATCAAATTTAGGACCAAACAAAAGAAACAAAAACAGTAATGCGGAAGATATGAGCCCTTATAATCACCAAACTAGCCCTCCTGAACACCAAACTACAAACTACAATTACTTGGAGGTAAATAATATATTCATAAGATAAACATCAAAGATTACACGAATCAAAATTTGAGTGAGTCAAATTGGGTTTGAACTCAACAAGGAAAATGACCCTTAACCATATGATGTAAGTTTGAATTGTCAGTGGTTCGAATCAATCCTGAGAAATTATTTCTGTAAGTCATGGTTAAAAATGAACAAGTAACACTATATTCTATCAAATTTCATTTTTCCATTTTTACTATTTTGGCCTACCACAATGTTTACTGTAGACTCCACATAATAAATTAACATTATGGCACAATAAAAGTTGTCTAAAAGCACTATCTCAAGCCCCCTAGGCAGAAGATTTTGCAAGATTTCTTCCTACGTGAACCAACCTTCATCCAACTGGCTAACAGCAGAAGTATAGAACAGGACTCTACAGACTAGCCGATACTAAACTTTTCAGGATGCTATAAGGTATTAAGATATTGCCTTGAACTAATTGTTCATGTCAATCAAATATACTACTGCCCATTTAAAAACATTTTTAAAGAAAATTAAAAAGTGGCACAACTGAGTTCTCAAAAGATTAATTTAGACATATTTGATAAACAAGAAATATGAAAAAGGTCAAGCAGTGCAGTATTACGAGTTAAAAAAACAACAATATTGTACAATATCAAGTCGGGTCATGTTTTAAAACACTAATATCATACCTTTCAAATCAAGCTATGTTGATAGGAACTAAAAACATGACTTTTGTAGGTGTTGTGGCAAGTTATTAGCAGGAAATACAGCTGAAAGTGAACCCTCAGCCTTTTTCTTCAGCTGTTGAAGAAGCCGGGATGCTTCTCTCAACTCATTTTTAGCATCAGGCCCCAGTGCTTCCCATCTATTTATAACTTCTTGTTGGAACTCCATTGCAAGTCCATAACTGCACGCCACATAACAAAATATTAGTTATATCATTTACATCATCCATGTTAACATGTAAAGGCAACGATGAGCATTGGACAGTGAATAATCCAAAAGAAAACATAAAAACCTCCAGGAACTATGGTATACTTTGACAACCGCATCAACAGAATAAATTTGCAGCTGTATGGCTAAGTTAGCAAACCAAAATTAAGAATGATAATATTCCACAAAGAGCAAGTATATATATTAATCTATGTTGCACGGATACGCCTATTTATGAGGCATGCTGTATCAGATACGTGTCGGATACGGATACGCCTCCGATACGGCACGGATACGTGTCGGATACGGCTATGCCGTGTCCAATTAAATTATTATTTAAATTTGATTGGACAAGCGTAACGGATACGCGTGTCCTATTAAAAAAAATAGAGCCACAATTTTCCCTATTCATTTCGGCTCTCCGCTCAATATCCTTATTCATTTATGCGGCTTAAACATTTCAGCGAGCTAGGTTTTTCGTTTCCGCACACGTGTTTCTCTTCTACGTTATAGTCGAAGGAGCGGCTCGATGACACGAGCATAGAAGCGGACAGGATCATCCTTCGTCGAGGCTTGACGACGCGAGCATTAAAGCCGACAGAATCCTTCGTCGACGGAGCGACTCGACAACACGAACAATGAAGGCGACGTGAGCATTGAAGGTTCGTTTTCTTCATTCTTCGTTTTCTTAATCGTAGGCTCGGTACCGCTCAGTACTCGATACCACTCGGTACTGCTCGGTACTGCTCGGTACTGCTCAGTACTGCTCGGTATCGCTCGGTACTCGGTACCGCTCAGTACTGCTTGGTACTGCTCGGTACTCGGTACTGCTCAGTACTGCTCGGTACAGGAACTCGGTACTGCTCGGTACTGGAACTCAGTATCTTTAGTGACCAAGAGTCATTGCGTGATAGGTGGAGCATTGAACCGAAAATGTGGTAGATTATACATGGAGCTTTAGCACCTCTACTTCAAACAATCGTCATAAAATTGCTTGGCCAAGTTTCATCCTCATCTTGTTGTGAAAGAAATTGGAGCACATACCCGTTCATCCAATCAATGAAGAGAAATAAAATTACTCCACAATGGGCTGACGATTTAGTTTATATGCATACAAACCTTCGGCTTCTCTCAAGGAAAACTCCAACTTATATGGAAGGAGATAACAGGATGTGGGATGTTGCTAGAGATGGATTTGAATCTCTTGAGGATATGGGAATATTAGAAATTGCTAATCTTTCACTTGATGAGCCTGAATTAGAAGTTATGATATAGAAACTCAAAGACAAACCACTAAAGAAGCTAATCCTATCATTCCTTCTATTGAATAGTTGAAGTTTCATGTGCTGGATAATTTATCTTCTTGTTTTTGTTGTTGTACTAGACATTTAAATATTTAATGCTTACTTTTATTTCAATTTTTTTTTGTTATTTCAAATATTACACTTTGATTACTTTCTTAATTTTTATGTATTATTTATATATTATAATGTCGTATCTGCGCCGTATCCGTATCCGTATCCTGTATTTTTAAGAATTGGCGTGTCCCGTATCTGTATCGTGTCGTATCCGTATCGCCATATCCGTATCGGTGCAACATAGATATTAATGTATATGGCTATCATTGCCATGTGAAAACATGGAACATGACAAAAGTCATGGGGACTATATTGCATGACCAAATAAGCAACAGAGCAAACATTTCTTTAACAACACAGTTCTGCTGCTTTGATAATCTTAAAAGTTATTTGTACTCTCTTACCATGACTATAAATTCCAGAGTTCAGACGAGACACTTTAATCATCTAGTTATCTTTCAACTACCATACACCAAAATCACATCATCTCCTCCTCTTTAGCAATCAAAACACATGACCATCCTAGTTTGTTCAATCTATATGATTGACAATTTAGCATGAAACTGCCAAAGAAACGTAGCATGTAATAATTAGAATAAACGAACTAGTCATCTTCTGATCACCTATGATCATTGACGCTAGAGATAAGAATCACCTCTTTAGATCCCGAGTCTAGAAAAGAAATGGTCTTTTGCATCAAAGATCATACATGAGTAAGAAAATGATAGCTCTCCAAAAGACTTCTGAAAAATAAAAAATAAAATAAACACTCTTTTAAAGCAAAGCAAGATGAGTAATAAAGCCAGTGCTGATCTTTCTACCGAGGCAAGTAAGCCACCAACATTTCTCTGGAAGATAGAAAGCAATGCAAACATAGCAATGACACATTAGTAATTCAGCCGAGTAGAGATTGCAGTGTGCTTCAGAATTTTGCACATTGTGATGTTGAGGTGAATTTTGGTTAACAGTGTAGTCCACTAATTATAGCTAAAAAACATACAGAACCTCCAGTGTCCTAAACCATTTCAATATGCTTTCTTAGGCTCAGGTGTATGCCAGTAGTTGAATAAATCGATCTAAAGGACAAAAACAACTCATACAAGTCCCACCCAAGAATTATCATCTTCCATTGCTGCTAGATGTGATCAGTGTGCAGTAAGATCAACTGCCAGGCCCATACTAAGTAGACATGAAAGGCTGTTATAGCCTTATAGATTTGAAAGAAGGTCATAAACATAAAAAAGGAAACCAAGATTCAGTATAACAATGATTGAACACTCTTGGAACAGCAGATTCAAGCCTAGCCCATGTATTGAGTAAATTAAAAAAAAAAAACAACATTAAAAGCATATTCATGCGTGAATTTATCAATACTATTTCTAAATTAATATAAACATATCTATTTCAATAGGTTATTTTATTTGAAAAGTTCAAGTCCCGAGAACCTGGGCTGGGATTAGGTTTTTATAAATGCTGTCAAATTATGAATGAAGAAACACTAGGGCAACATATTTGATTTCAACCATCATCATCACCACAGTTATCAACACTATCAATGATAAGCAGCTATTTTCTTTCCTTTCTCCAACAGAGCCCACTCTCCGCTTTTCCTCCCCTTCTAAAGCTCTATGCCCCTTCTTTCCTTGTCAATTTCTCATCCAACAAGGTTGAAGGAAGTAGCATGTGGAACTATTTAGCTGAATGATAATTATTAATTCGAGTAACAAATGTTATATTATCTACCGCATTCTCATAATGGCCGACAATTAGCCCTCCCATGTAGATAGTTTTGGTCCCGATGTGGCCTTCCTCCACTTCAAGTCCCCGCTTTTATCTTCCTGTGATTGTTTAACCTTTCTTTTAAAACATCAAAAGCATCCTACAAACCCTTTAAAAGAGCAAAGTAGGGGCAAAGAGATATGGGAAAAGAAAGAGCAGAAAAAATATAAACGAAGTATAAGAAGAACCAAAAATAAATGGATCTTCAAAGGATCCGGTGAAAGAAGGGAAGTAACAAAAAAAGCCCAAAGAAAGAAATGCATAAGCAAGCCATCAATGCTTAAACAAACTCAACCTATCACAAACATATGACAATTCACCAAAATTACTAGTTTCAAACTTGTTTGTAACCTCACAATGGATGTCCCTGCCTTTATCTTCAGTTTTCTACCCTTGGGATGGGTAAGTTCCCAAGACGTTTTACTGGCCTCAAGTCACTTTCCTTGTCTTGAGCTTGGCAAGTAACACAAATGCCCTTCCGGGCTACATAAGCGACTAAATGCCCATAAGGGCAAAAGTGGAAAAACATCAAAATAAATACGCTACTACATAAAATGACAAAATACAAGTCATGCTCGTGGCCGTCGATCTCCGGCGTCGAAAATGCTGACGATGTCCTCATCAATATTCCTTACATCAATTTTACTGGCCGCAAGCACTTTCCTTCTCTTGAGCTTGGCAATTAAGTAACATTTCCTTATTGTAAATTCCTTACATCAATTTTCTTGGCAAGTAGCATTTCCTTTTTGTATATTCCTTCCATCAAATTTCTTCGCTCAATCAACCATCAGCTTAGCTTCTACTTAGAAATTGCTGCCGATGAGAAATCATGACCTTTTAGAATCTCATGGTTAGTACACAAAAACTCTAGGAAGGAGGAATGATGCGGCACACTTTAGCATGGGAGGTCTACTGGACAACTTACCCTTATAACAAATTTTTGGCTCTAGCGACTACCTTATTTTCTATTTCCTGCATTATAGTACTAATATACCTTTTTAGCTGTTATGCTCTTTTAGTACAGCCACAGGAGGATACAAATTGAAGAGGCAAAGGAAATGTAGACAACTTTTTACAAAACAAATCAATACTACATACACCTTACTATCTCTTCTTCCCTGTCCTTCCGACCCTCTCTCTCTCTTGTTTTTGTTTTGCTAATGCTCTTTTCAGGTTCCAGTCGTTGATCCCTCCGGCATCCTTTCCGATCGACGGTCGACGCTGCATCAGCTAATTGGCATCAGAGCCAAACGATTGGAAAGAGAGAATGACCGAATGCAGCAAGGAACCAGCCTTCGAGGAGGTCCCGAGCTTAGAAAATTTGTGGGCAAACCAAAACAACCTCCGTAGTCAGCTAGAGGCATTGGCTGCGGATGTACAGAGGTTGACTATAGAAATTCGCCGCGAGTTTAATCTCAATAGGGTGAGACCACCCCAACTTACTCCACCGCGGAACGATCTTCCGACTCACCGCACAATGCCGCGAAGAGGAGTAACTATAGGCCGATAGCCCAGGCCACTACCCACATTTCAGCTAGAAATGACGAATTCAGAGGAGGAGACGGTAATGCATTCGGGAACGGAGTTTGTAGAATCTGAAGAAGAAGACGGCACACACCGATATCCTCCGGAGATTCAGAGGTACCGTCGGCCCGCAATGCAGCAGCAGAGACCATGTGAATTTAAGGTTAAATTGGATGTTCCCTTCTTTGACGGTCATTTACATATTGAAGACTATCTCGACTGGGAGAAGGAAGTAGAGAATTTGTTCGATTACATGGAGATTGAACCCAACAGACATGTAAAATACGTGGCCTGTCGTTTGCGTTGTGGTGCG